CAGGTTCGCCTAGCGCACTCTCGTTGACGTTAAATGGCTTGGTTGTGTTCGCGTCTTAACCTGTTCTCTGTCGTAGCCGCGTCGCCAGCCACGGCCGTGGTTCCTTTCGTTTTATCGTCGTCCGCTCTCTCGCCACGAACGACCTCACAGGAGGCACCAAATGTTGTGTCGATGTAATTGAATATGTCTATTGAATATATTAAGTACAAAGTAATGAGAGGTCTCGGCCTCATACAGGTTATCTTGTACGTAGTCATCGAGCTTCTTCGCAAGAATAACGCCTTTGTCGAAAACGTACTCGTTACACATAAAAATCCGTTAGCCGTCATCGGCCAATGAAATCCACGCTGTCGCATGCGTGCGCATAGGTTTAAGGATTCAGTGGAGAGGGAAACCGAGAGCGGTGCCGGTCACGGCCGTCCGTCCCAGTACAACGCTCGTCCCTTCTTTTCTCACACACACATCCATATATACATCTCGCTAAGTGGGCAGGCAGCTGATCAATACGTTACACCATTTTACGTTGCCATTTTCGCGGTCGTAATATACGCTTCGATGAGAATCCCAGCAGCGATCTGATGCTGTTTGGTTTGTCAAAGTTTATTCTGAAGGCGCATATAATATTGCATTTCATCGTGATGTAGTTTGCGCGGAGCGCTATCGGATACTCCCCATGCAAGTCGTCGTCGTTGTCATCGGGAGGTACATCTCCACGCACCAAGTCAACGATATCGAGCATGTCGCTATGCGGCCGTTTCCGCGAGATCGCGCGTTTCAGAAATTCGTTTATGGTTTGTAGTTCGTACGAACCCTTGGGGATCGTAATTTCCTCGTCATCGTTTCCAAAATGAAATTTATTGTTCGAATCGTTCACGTTCGGTATCGTGTGATAGGTCTCGAAAATCGTCAGACCGAGCTCGTAGTCGTCGTCGCTCAAGTCTATCGCGGGAAAGTAGCTTGCCGCGAGAACGCTGTTCTTCCCGCTTAGCGTAAGTGTCAACGACATGATGATTCGGCGAGCACTGAAATCACACGACATCTCGTTGAGCTTTTTAAAATTCGACCGTTTGTAGAACCGCAGACACATCTGTCCGCAAAAGTTCTGATCGTACATCTGATAGGACGTTCGATTGTACTCTATCGTAGTCGTAACGCCGAAATATCGCACGAGTTCCTCGGGCGGTCGGAGATTGCCGAAACTATCAAAGTACACGACGCGGTTGTTCCTCTTCACGTACGCTACCCAGTGAGTACCGGGGCCTGTCACATCGTCCAGATTCACGATACCGCTTTCGTTTCGGTGCGCGCCGCTCATCGGTAACGCGTTACGCATGAAAACTCCTCTAAAGTACGGTACGCGCATACGTTTAGCAAGTTGTAGCAGTTGCACGTTGGTGGTTGCGCCCGTGGGCATTATTATCGTTTCTTCGACGTTGTTTTTTTTCTTTTCATACCCTGTCCGCGTTTGTATGGAGCGAGATACAGCCCGCGTCCGTATCTGTACGGAGCGAGATACAGTCCGCGACCCTGTTCCATCGCGTGATCGTGACGTTGCAGCTCCTCGAGCTGACGCCGTGCGGCTTTGCTGTCGTTTACCGCTTTCGCCACGTCGGCCGCTTCGCCGATCAGACATCCGAGGGCGCCCAACATTGGCAGAATCGGCAACATGCCGCCTCGTTTCGCGGTCGGAAGAATCCGTTTTTTCGTCGTCTTTTTTTTCACCCCCTTCGTCATCTTCTTCTTCTTCATGCCCATGCCGATCTTGGTCTTGGCTTTCATCGCTGCCCAGATAGCAGCAGCGGCGGCTCTCTCACCCAGAGCCGAATCTCTTGCGGTAACGCGTTTTCGCGCCTCCTCGGCGAGTACCTCGTCCGCCGCGTGTCTATCGGTGAGATCGTTGCTCCGAGAATACGCAATGTCGTGCTCGCGACACGCCGCGTCCAGTGGATTTACACCCGCGTCGCCTCTGGCTAATCGTTTCTTCAGTCGAGTGCCGGGGCCGCAAAACTGGTAGCCTGGAATATGTAACTCGAAAGGAAGCGCGTTTATCGCCCGATTCAACAAGCTCTTCGCTGACATTCGCCGCAATTCTTTATCAGAGGCGGCGGACCGTCGATGTGCGTTTGCTGACTCGGCAAATTGTAGTGCTTCAGACACCGACGGTACCGTTGAACCTCCGAATCGGTCTTTACGTGTTCCGGAAGCCTGTCCCACACGTGATCGATATAATCGCCGCACACTTGTAACAGTACGATCTTCGGTATATACTGCAACTGCTCAGCGTTCAATTCTCGAATGTCGGAAGAACGATGATACAGCGCGAAATACATTTTGCTACTGCCCGATTCGCGGATTCGCGCGCCTATAAATAGGCGTTGGAGACTGCGGATAGTTTACAGTGCGAGTATGAAATTTGTGCAGTGCCCACTGACGATACGCGTCATGAATTGTGACGCGAAATTGCAAACGATGCGGGACGACGCGAATAAGCGCAAGCACGGTCAAATGCTGCCGAATACTATACGCGCGATCGTCTGCGGTCCGTCAAACTGCGGCAAGACGAACGTGCTGATAAGCTTGCTCGAGAGCCCCAACGGCGTACGTTTCGAAAACGTGTACGTCTACTCGAAATCACTGCAGCAGCCAAAGTATCGATATCTTGAAAATTTTTTGACGTCCATCGATGAAATCGGCTACTTTACGTTCTCCAACAACAGCGATGTCGTTCCACCGAACGAGGCGCTACCGAATTCTATCTTTATCTTCGACGACGTTGCATATGACAAACAGAACGCGGTGCGAGAGTACTTTTCGATGGGTCGCCACGCGAACGTCGACTGCTTCTATCTCTGTCAGACGTACGCGAGGATACCTAAACATCTGATACGCGACAACGCGAATCTGCTAATCCTGTTCAAGCAGGATGGTACCAACTTGAAACACGTTTACAACGATCATGTGAATACCGACATGTCGTACGACGAATTTTGCGCGTTGTGTCACAAATGTTGGCAACAAAAATATGGATTCGTAGTAATAGACAAGGACAGTGCGCTTACAAAGGGGAGATACAGAAGAGGATTTAACGAGTTCCCTATACCGTAACGCTGTCAGTCATCGTCCGTACTTCGACTAACATGTCTCGAGAGCGTGAAAAAATCGCGAGGGAGATCGAGAGGACGAGCGAGTCGATCCGCAAGAAGCAACGCGCTGTGAAGACGGGTAGAATCGACGAGGACATTGCTCTGGACAGGCGTTTCAAGCCTATCGTTGAACCGTTGCGACAGACAGTAGTCCCATTGCGCCCGATAAAGACAGAGTCGCGTGACGCTACCCCTAAACGCAAAAGAATGGAGAAGAAGGATGAGGAGGAGGAGGATGTGGGAGATTTCTTCGTGACTCCGCGCACGCATTTATTCGATCAAAAGATCGAGCCGATAACCTCCACACCGCATGCACCTACCCAACCGTCGGAGTCATTCGACGACGTTTCCGAAACGACGTACGCGACGCTCGCGATGCCCGATCAGAATCATTCATCGGAGAACCGAGAGAAATCACGAATTCATATGGGCCCGCTGAGTCTAAAGTCCGTCGAGCCTGTCCTACGAGGACACAATGAGAGCGGTATGGATCGCGTGTACGGCGCTTACTTGGACAAGGACGGATTGATGCTCGGCAATAAGCGTTTCGACGTGGATGACGCGGATAACATAATTATCGACGGCGTACGTTACGCCGGTACACCCGGCCTTTACGAGCTGATTTTCAAGAGAATTCCTGACGATATGCTTCAAACGGAAGAAGATATGCGCGCATAACAAGAGCATGCTGCAGGCAACGACAGCGCATAAGCACATGCACCATTCGCAGGGACAAGTACTGGCCAACAGGGGATACAAGTACAAAAACATAATCAAGCCGTTGGTCACACCTAAGAAAAAATTTGGAAAAGGGTTACCTCGCGCCATGACGCTAAGCGACGCGATCGAGTACGTGCACTGGGACGATCCCAACGAGTTGGTGGATCGTCGACGCTTCGCAACGAGCGGGCAACACCGCTCACGGCAACGAGATGCTGTCGATCATCGAGGAACTTCGCGAAGCCGATCTTATTATAAATCTTCTGGAAGATTACCGCGGAAAACCGGTCGCTGGAGGATTCTACGAGCACGAGTTGCGTCGCGTCGCTAATCCCGACGTGTATCTCGTGGAGAAAGTACTACGTAAGAAAGGAGACAAGGTGTACGTCAAGTGGTTGAGATTCGATGGATCGCACAATTCATGGATAAATAAAAACGATGTCGTTTGAATTAATTTTTGTATTCATATAAAAATATATAAAAGTATAAGAATATCATTGTTACTCTTTATTTATTCCTTCACATACATACATGTAATTATTTTTAATATATATAGGAATTAAGTACTATAAGATACATACATTACGCGAGTACAATAAATGCGAAGTATAAAGATACATTTCAAAAACGTATAAAAGAACACATACATAAAACTCAATACATACATAAAACTCAATACATACATACATACCTAAAACTCAATACATATATACGTACAGTATAAGTAAAAATATAGGTATAAGTACAAGTATAGGTATAAGTAAAAGTAAAATATATATTAAGAAATACAATTTAAAAACGTATAAAAATACATAAAACTCAATACATACATACATACCTAAAACTCAATACATAAAACTCAATACATACATACCTAAAACTCAATACATATATACGTACAGTATAAGTATAGGTATAGGTATAAGTATAAGTAAAAGTGTAAGTGCAAGTATAAGTAAAAGTATAAAATACATATATAAAAACTCAATATAAAAATACATATTAAGAAATACATATATAAGTACACTTGGTGTAACTTCGATCGTATACACGACTGTCTACGCGTCATTTCCATCTCTTCGTTCAAGCATCGGGTGTAATCGTCGAACGTTATCGTTCGCGCTACGACGCTGCTCTTTACACCCTTTGCCTTCTTCGTCTCTCTCTTTCCGTCCACGCGCTGTGGAAATTCGGTTTCGCGATCAATGCCTCCGCGCCGTACCGCCCGTCCCATGTAGTTACTAATTTCACGTCGACGCGATCGCGCATGTTCACCATCGTTTTGCCGAATACCGCGTTGTTCATTAATTTGTATAAATTTTTTTCAAAATCGTTTTTCGCGCGCGTTCTGAATTGCGTGTTCAATTCGATGTAATCACGGAGCCAGGCTGATTGAGCGAATCGTAACACGCGATGGATCTTCGTTACGCGAAGGCCGTGATGTATGCATTGCTGAAGGTTACGGTAATGTATGACGTAACGCTGTTTATAGTAAAGAGTCGCGAGCAGTTTATTCTCGCGCTTGCCGGGCGGCTTATCGCGCGTCGGGCAGAACGGTAGATCAGCGTGCGCGTCGTGAAGATGTTGTGGATACTCGAGATCCACCTCGAAAATGTACCCGGTGGGCGAATCCGGAGCGATCGCGTTTGCGTCGAAGTTCGCGGCGTCTTTGACCCATCGAAAATCTGCGTATGGCAGCGGTTGGCACATCGCCCATCCGTACAGGTTGTTAACGTCGTAGTACATTAAATACGACGACGTTTCCGACAAGTCGTACGACTGCATGTACTTGTTATTGGCCTTTGCGTATCTGCCGGAACATTGACTTAGGCCACCGCGCTCGATAAATATCACCATATCTATATCGGTGAGCAACTCGAATTTCACGCGCGTGTGTTTCAGCATAGCGTCCCACGTGAAACCGGGCAATGTGTAGTAATGCGCGGGATCGAGACCGTAACTCGCGACGCAACTTTCGCGAAAATTTTCGAAAACGTCGGTCAATAACAGTACATCGGTTTTCAAGTACAGATCGCTGTACTCGCCGAGGGTTCGCACGGCGAACCGCTTCCATACGTTCGCGGCGTGCGCGTAATCGCTCTCGGACACTGTATCATCCGTCAGCGAGCTTTGAAACGATTCACGCGGCGGTAAGCGTGTATCATTCAGTTTTTCGACGCAATCTACGTACTCGTACGGAAATACTCCTTTACGAGTAAGCAAATTGAAATCTTTGTCCGACAGATTTGAAAATTCGGATCTCACAATTTTCAATTTATTTTTATCAATATACGACGCTAATTTATCTAAACTCGAACTCAAAAATTTATAAGAGTCTATAAATCGTAATTTAACGCAATTTCGCGAATCATTGTCACTAGTGTCTTTAACATGCTTCGTAAACGAAATGTACTTTTCTTTAGTCAGAGGAAGCAGATCTACTTGCCCCTTGAATTTAGTAGCGATTTCTTTCATAACGAAGTGCGCGTCGTATCCCGATAGGTTGTGGAATACAACCGGTATGTAAAGAGAGTCCTTATAATTTACGTTGCATCCTTTATGTGCTGGGCCGCGATATCGCCCGGTGAGGTGGCAGTGATCGTGTGCCCGCTCGTCACCCGGCGCGAACGGCCTCTCACAGATGTGACAGTGCGTTGCACTGTTGAATTTCTGCCAGTCATCTCGCGTGAAATCCATAGGCTGGTTAGCGGATATTATAGTTTTCGCGCGGTGCGCCAAGTCCTCGAGCTGGCGCGCGAACCAGCTGACGCAGCCGTTATCGCGACGAAACCGATACGCCGATAACGTATCGTCGTACGAGCACCGCACGTAGTACCCTATACTAAAGACCTCGTGCTGCTGGTACGCGTACGACGATGTCGATGTTGCAGCGTCTTCCGTCTTTCGCAAGACGCACTCCAGGTCGGCGTATACTACAAACGGCGCCCGCTCCTTCATGCCGTAGTTGTGGAACTCCAACCACTTTTTCTCCTCGCTAGGTAGGCGGATAGCGCACTTGTTTAATTTACCGCAGTCCTCGCTGTGGATTTCCAATTTTTGGCTGGTATTGAAGTAGTGGAGGCAACTGAAAAAAAAATTAAATTTAGTACATTTTTTTATTTAATATTTTTTTTTCTTATTGTACTTACCGGTCGCAGAAATATTTCTTGCGCCCATATTTGTTGATTTGCGTGCTAACGAGGCGTGACAGATGCTTAATCCACACAAAATGTTCCGTGTCGCCGTCTTGCACGTACAGGAGATTGACGTGCTTCTCCCTTTTGTCGTCGGTGAGCCGGAGAGGCAGGATGTCCCCGTCCTCGATACCGTAGACGTTGACCGACATATTGTTCGAGCGTTCGAATTTTTTAACGTCTTTAAGAGTTACCGGAAACTCGATATCCGCGAAGTTGAGAACTGTAGAGTAATGCGGATACGACGATGCCCGATACACATGATTTTCTGCAGGATACAGAGCGGCTACTACCGACCACGCGAAGCACGCATTGTCGTTCGAACTTACGTTAACCAGTGCGTGCTTGTCCTTAATTTTCTTCGGCATTTCGATGTAGCATCCCGCGTGCGTAGAATTAAGTTTGTTCACGTTCACCGTCAAGTTCAGGATTCGCGAGAGTGCCCACCCGCTGTCGTGCTCCTGGTGCTCTTCGAGCGACGCCAACGTAGGCTCGATAACGCGCGACACGTACCACTCGCGCACATTCGACGCTGGATACAGTTCACAATTTTTACTGTTTATACCCATAACGGTGCGTTTATCGCCCACAATGAACTCACCGTTGAACGCGGTGTTCACTTTCACGCTACCGTGTCTCTCTATAGCGCCTCGCACTCGCTCGAGCACCACACTACCGGCGTCTTCCAAAAACTGTCGCGGATCTATGTGTTCAAAGTTTATCACCGCACCGGTTAGAACGCGCCTCTCGAACGCGGCGTCGATCTCGCACCACGCTAGATATCTATCGCGATCACCACCGCCCACGTATACGAACCGTCGTCCCAACTGCGTCCTAGCACCCGCGAGTCGCGCGATTCTCGCCACCGCGGATTGTCTGTGCCCGACGGCAAGACGCGGTTGGTGCGGCAGAGCTCCTCCAAGCTCTCGATGCACTCGTCGCATCGTTGCATCCACGCGGAACACTCTGTCAGGATAGCGACGCGGCCGCACTGCTCCAGCAGTTCGCGTTCCACTCGCTCGTGGTTTTCCATTTTTTAGAAAACTTTTATTCTGCGCACTTGCACGCAATTTGTTCACACGTTTCGCAACATCTCTGCATGTTTACAATGTCATAGAGTCCGACCACCTTTTCATTATAGAAGAAGGATGATAAACACTTTCGGCACCCACAGTAGTCCTTAGCACACCCGTCACGAAATAGTTTCTTTATAGCAGGATTCTTTTCTTTATTGCGAAACCGTAAATTTTTACATTTTAGCATCACCACTTCGGCACTTTTACGACTATACGTGTACACGCATCGGCAGAAATGCTGTCCCTCGGCGTTCGGCTGCAAATTTACAAATGCATGGAAAGCTATTACAATGAATCTCAAAATTACTCGTAATGTTGTAATTATGCACAACAATATTAAAACATTTTGTGTGTAATAAAAGTATTATTATGAATATTGACAAGCGAAAGACACCGGAGTATCTCACTCGTACTAGTAACAAATGTGTGAGACAGCGAAAGGACACCGCGAGCAGGCATCACGTCCAACTACGCTTTCTCTCTCGATCGTGCGCCTTGCGCTAAGGATAGAATATCGGTGCGCGCCCCACTACTTTCTCCCTCCGCGCTCCACGCCTCCTCCGCGCTCCTAATAACACGTACGTGTGCGCGCTCGGTACGAGTGTGTAGCGCCGCGCGCCGAACGCCGAGGGACAGCATTTCTGCCGGTGCGTGTACATCGTAACGCACTTGCAGTATTGAAGTGTATTCGCGATATACCCTGAAAAATCAATTTTTGATGCATTGACATTTCTAGTTTCACGAATCATACACTCGTCTCGTAATCGCGTGTACGCTTCTCGTCGCGCGCGCAATGACCATCCGTAAGCTGGGAATCCTTCAATGTATGTTTTTTTCACGATGCGCCCACCGTCTATCTCCCGATCGCGAATTATATTCACCGGCGATGTCCACGCACTATCGTCTTTTCTCTGCGGATTATTGAGAACCGAATTCACTTCAAGAATTTGATACAGAAAATTTCTATTATATTCTTTGTAATTAAATATCCACTCATTTACCTCGTTATATGACAGGTTTTTTATTCTATCTTCGTCTTTATCTTCGTCGGAAGACTCACTGTCTTCGATATTAACATTTTCTATTACGCGATCACCATGTATCTCTCGAATTATATGCACCGGCGATGCCCGCACATCCTTCCTCGGTAAATTTTCGACACCGTCTTCGACAAGATTGTTCACACATTCAAAATAATCGTCCCAATCTTAGTCCAGTATACGATGCGATGATTCGTTGATTGCCATTTTATTTTCTTATACAGTACATATGGGACATTCGTTGCACGGGTATACTTGGCACATCGGTTTCAGACAATTGGAGCACGTCCGGGCTTCGAATCTATCGGTGAAATCAGTGTCGTGCTTCCTTATCAACAACATTCCACCAACGCCAGCGTCCGCGATTTTCTCCATACACTCAGGACATACCGCTAGCGCTCCACTTGTCGAATAGTAGCACTGGATTTGACAAAACTTCACGCGAGAACTCAATGCTCGGATTTGCGCGGCTGACACAATTTTTACTAAACAATAGGTATTGTTCTCCAGATCGCTAACGCACCCCGTATCGTCCGATTGCACACTCTCGTCGGAAGACTCAACGTCCATCACATCTTCAAAGTTTACATCTCCAATCGCTTCGTCATTCCCGACATCATCGGGATCCATATTTTCAATGTTCGCTCTATTGTACTCTCACATCTTAACACAATCGATTCGTGACATCTACTGTGACACGGTGCGCTTACGACTCATTATATATTTCATTTCCAACTTCTTCATCCCTTTGTCTTTATCCCTACTGACATCTCAGTACGCGTCTTCCTAGAAATGTATCTCGAAAGATAGCGCAAATTAATTTAATACTTGTTTTCGCGCGTTGAAATATCACTTTCGTTTCCTGTGATACAGTTTCGTTCAGCAGCCATCGGCGCTCGAACGCGTTGCCACCGATATCTCCTAAGAGAATAATATCGTTATCGCGATAAATAGCGTATATTAATTTAATACTTCTATTGGAGGATCACTTTTGTTTCCTGTGATACAGTTTCGTTCCGTAGCCAAATCATAGGCGCTCGAACGCGTCACCACCGATATCTACTAACAGAAAAATATCGTAAAAGGAACCGCCATGAGAACGCTATTTAATTTAATACTTGTTTTTCGAGCAGGAGTATCAATTACATCGAAGAAGCATGTTTTCAGGGGGGAGGGTGTGAAGGGTGGCAACTTTTGAAAATGTCCGCGCCAGTACCTTCCCCGCGATTACCTTCCCCGCGATTACCTTCACCGCGATTACCTTCCCCGCGACACTAGCGCCGCCTGGTGGTGACGAAGAATCTGTATCCGTGGTATAGAACTCTCTTAGTATATGGGAGGGGGAGGGGGTTGGCGGCTTTTGAAAAAAACTTATTTGATGTCGTCGCCTCGAAAGGGTGTCGGCAGCTTTTGAAATTTTATATTCAAATAATAACATCTCGGTGCATGGAAATGTATCCTCCTCCGGCGGTTAGGGCGAGGGGACGGCGCGGCGGCGGCCCGCGCGATAAGGCGGCTCGGCTCCCCCTCCCCTCCCGTGACGTCATACCCCCGCGCCTAGGGTTCCCTCCCCTCCGGTGACGTCATACCCCCCGCGCCTTGTACTTTCCCTCGCGCCCCGCACCCCCCTCGGAGCCCCATGGCTTTGAATCGGCCTACTACCTCTACTAATTATTCTTTTAAAAGTTACTATTATTATCGAAAATAATTTATTTTAAGTTAAAGTAGTAATTATTTTGCTGTGATTATATTAATGACATTAAACACTTGGAGTTTCTAAGGCTTTCATTTTATTTACAATACTTATTAAAAATTACAAAATGTAATAATTTACAATATTGTAAAATAATTAAAACAATTTTAACTTTAAGTAATGAATATCATTTCAACGCAGTACTTTTTACGCTAAATATCGGATACACATTTTTATTTAGATAAGAAAATGTTAAAAATATAAAAAATATATACATGTATTGTGTACTTTAAAATCTGTGTGTGTGTGTGAAAGTACATTATATTTTTCTTCTGTCCTCATCGTACCATTCGATCTTGCCAAGGAACAGTATAAATATCATTAAAATAATTACATAATTCATCTCGCAATGTTAAAGCTGCATTAGTATGTCTATTTCCTCCCTAATGAATTAATGAAACAAAAGCTGATGCTGGTTCCTGTCTCCATTCGCCAAGTTGCATTGTGCCAGTTTGTACCATATATCCTCGACATCAGTAGGCGCGGTAGCGTCTCCGGCCATGTTCAAAAACTGAAAGACGCTACAAGTCTCTTATCCCGAGCAACCAAAGTCCATTTTTGGGAGGTGCATAACTACTAAAATATAAAAAATTTTGAATCGAACATCATATGTCCTGAAAGGCGGCATCGCCACGAGTAATTCGAGACAAAAAAATGTTAAATCGGTCAAGCCGTTATGGAGATACAAGCGGTCGAAAAGTGATGATTTTAATGAAAAATTAAGAAACGTTTCCTTCTCTGTCCGTCTGTCCGTCTGTCCGTATTTAAGAACCTTTTAACATCCTCTTTTACCTTTCACTCGCACCTCCACCATCTTTGGCCCACCGGACCTCCTCCACTCGCCTCACCCCCTTCCCCAACACCAACCCCCACCACCAACCCCCACCACCCCTCTCTTCCGCTGTAATTCGCTCTTTTTCGTT